TGTCCCCTGCTGCTTCGGGCGTGTATCTGCCTGCCCGCCCCTGGCGCGGACGCTGGTCCAGGTTCGCTCGCGTTCTCTGGGAATATCCTGTGTTGGTGGCTCGTTTTGCATTATCCCTGTCCGTGGCTCGTCGCCTCGCCCCAGCCTGCTAATTACCTCCCGCTCTCTCGGCGCACGCTGCTTCGGAGGCCGCCGCTTCGGGGGCTGGCCCCCCCTCCTCCGCGGACCCCCTCTGGTACTCAAGTGCCTCGGGCGTGGACCTGCCCGCTCGTGTCACTGCTTCCGGCCTCGGGTCCTCCGCGACGCAGGTCGGGCGTCGGCCGGCTCGCCCTCCATCGCTTCGCTGCGGCAGCTCGTCTCTGTGACGCCGCCACTTTGGGCGCGTCCTCGCCCCTTTCACGGCTTCGCGCTGTGCTCCGCTGTCAACTCTGGCCGGGGATCTGCCCAGCTGCGTTGGTGGCGTGCGCTCGTCGCCCTCCGTCCCTCGGGCCCCGCTCCGCCCGGGACGCTGCATCGTGCGGCAGCCGCACTTCCCTGGCTTGGCTCGATCTCCTTCGTGGGCCCTCAGCGGTGATCGCTTCGCCTTTTTCCCTGCCCCCCCGCCCGCGCCAGGCCCCGTTGTGGCGCCCGGCGCCTAACGGCCCGCTGCCTTCCCCAGGCGGTGTCCGCCCTCTCGCGTTGTGGCTCGATCCCTGTGGTCCCGCAGGGTGACTCTGTCGCCGCCGCTCCACTGGCCTTTCGGCTCGCCCGCCTCCGTCCTGGGTGTCAGGCTCTCCGCCCGCCTCCGCCCTCGCCTTCGTCCCGCCGCTCTCCCTGTGCGCCTCGCCAGTTTTTCCGGCCTCCTGGCCTTTCGGTCAGGCCTGGTTGCCGGCCGCCCTTTCCGCCGGTCAGGCTGCAGGCCGCGCTCTGCAAGTCTGTATTTGGCGTGGCGCCCTTCTTGCTGATCCTGCTGCTGCGGGCCGCGCGCTGCCCGCCCAACTTTGGCGCTGCGTCCCACTTGCTGCCCCGCTCTCGCTCGCCGCCCCGCTGCCCCGACCCGCCTTGGTGCCCCGCCCTGCGGCCGCCGCCTCGCCAGCGCCTGTCCGCTGTCTCGCTGCCCCGGCGCCGTTCCCCCACTGCCCCGTGATGGGCCAACCGTCTCGCCTTTCCTCGCCTCTTCTCGAAGACTGGGTGTGCGCGCGGTTCCCCGCGCATTCGCTGGGCGCCATGGGAACGCGCCTGGCCGCGACGACTGAAGTGTGTGCGTGTGTGTGTGTGTGTGCGAGAGAGAGGGGGAGAGCGAGTGTGTGTTTGAATGTATATGTGTGTGTGTGCGTGTGCGTGTGCGTGTGCGTGTGCGTGTGCGTGTGCGTGTGCGTGTGCGTGTGCGTGTGCGTGTGCGTGTGCGTGCGTGCGTGTGTGTGTGTGTGTGTGTGTTGTGTTGTGTGTGTGTGTGTGTGTGTGTGTTTGTGTGTGTGTGCGGCTGGCTGCCCCCGCCGCGCAGCTGCGCGCGTCTCCGACGCCGTTTGTGTGTGTGTGTGTGTGTGTGTGTGTGTGTGTGTGTTTTCTGAATGGCATGACGCATCGCCTGCGGAATCCGCCGGCCCCCCTGTGGGGCCAGCTGGCTGCGTGGCGGAGGTGTCCTGCTTCCAGCGCCAGCGCCAGCTTCCAGTTTCCAATGTGATGATTTTACTTTCTGTTTCCCACCGTGATTTGTTGTTGTCAGCGCGAGGGGGGGAACCCCAAACCAGTTTGCCACCTTCCCCGACTGGCGTTGGTTTCCGGGTGGGTCTGGAACAACCAAACATGCGTGAGCTTCGCGCCCCCGAGAAAGTCGCCCGAAGAAATTTCGCAATTCTCGCGCTCCCCAAACCAAAGTCCTGCGTGCATTGCGCCTCGCGCTGCCGAGGCCGGAATCCCCCGTGAATTGCGCCAACTCTGGGACCCCGATGCCCGACTCTCAGCTCCATTGCGCCAGAACTGCGCTCCCGAGGCCAGAACCCAGTGAAAATTACGCCAGATTCGCGCTCCCGATGCTAGTTCGAATCCTTCCGTAAATTGCTTCAGATACGCGTTCCCGAAGCCAGAAACCATCGTTGATCATGCCCCCTGTATCCCTCGAGAATTACAAAAAGGATTCGTGCTCCCGAATTCCGAATCCCTTGCGCATTATGCCAAATTCGCGCTCCCAAGGTCAGAACCCTTTGTAGATTACACCAGATTCGCGCTTCCGAAACAACAGCTTGTGCGCCTTATTTTTCCTGGACTGGCCTGCCCAATTCGCCCCTCGCGCGGAATCGCACGACTAGTGCCCGCCGCCGTAAATGAACCTTCATATCATAGTCGTTGCTGTCTAGGTGTCCCGCTCCGGTGTCGCCCGTTTGGTCTTCTCACCGCGGAGTGGGAGGAACAGGTCTGTGTGAGTGTGTGCCCCATCGGCAGCCCCACATACCCGTTGGGCTTGCTGCGTGCTGCTGGCGTCGCAGTCCCTCCCACGCTGGGCGCCCGCTCTCTCCGCTTGCTTTTGGGAGCCGCGCTTGCGGCCAAAGCGCTCCAGACGCCAGCGTCTGGGGCGCTAGGGCCAGACACGTGGGGGCCAACTTACTCTTTATCATGACCTCTTCCCCCCCCTGGCCCCCTCTCTCTGGTTCTTCTTTTCCGAATATCGTTTAACCGATCCCCATCCCCAGCGGCGTGGCCTGGGCCCCACTGGCCGATTTACCCCCCTGAGATGGGGATATAAGTCGTTCCCTTCGGGTTTCGAGGGGTGTATCCCTGACTGGGGTGGTAATTTGGCGGAGGTCTCGAAGGGGATGGGGGTGGGGATGGGGATTGGTGAAACGATACTGATGGCCCCCCCTCTCTCTGGCTCTTCTTTTCGCCTCCGATACCCTGTCCCCCCCCCCTTCCTGAGATAGGAGAGAGCGTGATCCACCGCCGCTTTACTGTGGAAAATTGCCAACCTTTTCCTCCGGAACAGGGGTCGCCCCCCCCCCTATCCCGAAAATCCCCCCCCCCCCCCCCCTGCTGGAACCCCTCCCCCCCCCCACCCGCCCTTCCCCCGGCAAAACCCTCCCCCTCCCCTAACCCCCCCCCCCTCGAACTCGAAAACCGGGGGGGGTCACTACCGGTTGTAACCCCTCCCCCCCCCTCTCCGGATCCGGAAAACCGGGGGGGGTCACATAAATAAAAAATAAAAAAAAAAAAAAAAAACAATAAAAAATAAAAAAAAAAAAAAACCAAAAAAAAAAAAATAAAAAAAAAAAAAAAAAAACCGTTCGAACCCCCCCCCCCCCCTCGAAAACCGGAGGGGGATCACTAACGGCTCGGAAACCCCTCCCCACCTCCCCACTCACCGCCAGCAGACGACTCCCGGTCCCTACCACCGTCCGCATCACATCCTCCAATGTTGTTCCCAGCACCACTGTCCTCACCACCACTGTCCCCACTGTGTCCCCACCAGTGCCCCCACCACTGTCGCACTGTCCCCACTGTCCCAACCACTGTTCCCACCACGGTTCCACTCTCTCCACTGTCTCCACGGCCCCAACCACTGCCCGACTATCCCCACTGTCCCCACTGTCCCACTGACTCCGCCGCTGTCCCACTGAGCTGTCCCACTGTTCCCACCACTGTCCCCACTGTCCCCACCACTGTCCCCACTGTACCTCTGTCCCATAGTCCCACCGCCGTCCTCGCCACCGCCTTCACCACTGTCCCCACCACCATTGTACCCTCCACTGTCCCACTGTTTCCACCTCATTCCCATTGTCCCCACACCACTGTCCCCAGCACCACCGTCACCACCACTGTCCACTGTCCCTCCCTGTTCCCACCATTGTCCCCACCACTGTCCCCACCACTACCGTCCCCACCACTGTCCCACTGTCCCACTGTCCCCACCACTGTCCCGCTATCCCCTCACCACAGTCCCCACCAACACCGTCCCCACCACTGTCCGCACCCCCACTCGGTTTTCGAGGGGGGGGGGGTTCGAACCGGTAGTGCCCCCCCCCCGGTTTTCGAGGCGGGGGGGGGGGGAGGGGTTCGAAATCGGTAGTGATCCCCCTCCGTTTTCGGAGGGGGGGGGGAAAAAAGACAAAAAAGAAAACAAAAAAAGAGGAGAAAAGAAAAAAAGAAAAAAAAAAAAAAAAAAAAAAAAAAAAAAAAAAAACAAAAAAGAAGAAAAAAAAAAAAAAAAAAAAAGAAAAGAAGGAAAAAAGAAGAAAAAAAGAAAACGAAAATAAAAAAAAAAAAAAAACAAAAAAAAAGAAAAAAACAAAAAAAACAAAAAAAAGAAAGAAGGAAAGAAAATGAAAAAAAAATAAAAAAAAAAAACAAATAAAAAGAAAAAGAAAAGGGAATAAAGAAAAGAAAAAAAACAAAAAAAAATAAAGAAAAAAAAAAAAATAAAAAAAAAAAATAAGGGGTTCGAACCGGTAGTGACCCCCCCCGGTTTCCCGCCAGCAGCGGTAGAACATGAGAGGAGCCACGGGCGCGCACAGCAAGCCCTGGCAGAAACCTCGACGCAGCCGGCCAGGCCGACGGCCGTGGAAAGCTAACAAAAATCCACTGCAAAGTCCCTCGGCCCTCCTCCCCCCCCTCCTGCTCCCTGACGTCCTCCGCCTCCTGCTCCTCAACGTCCTTGTCCTGCTCGTCGTCTCCGTCTGCAGGGTCGGCGGCAACGGCCGTAATGCCTTCGCAGTCCATTGAACCGTTCCTCGGCGCATCCGGCCCTGCACGGGGGGGGGCTGCTGGCGGTGCCGACGCGCGAGGCGTCCCTGCCGAAAAGCAGGAGCCCGGACAGGGAGGGCCACCCCAGCCCGGACAGGGAGGGCCACCCCCTCGAAAGCTTCCGAGGTCGTCATGCGGTCTGTGACCACGCGGGTTTTGAGACCCCCCAGACGCGCACACGCCTGGCTCCTACCATGACAAGACTGTGCGCTTGACTGCGCTGCCCCCTGAAGACAGTGCGAGGCGCGGATGCCTGGCGCCGATGCTCCACGGCAAGCGGCCACCGCGGTCCTTCCATCTCTGCTTCCGGATCTTCTTCTCGTTCTTCGGACATAGGTGGCAATACTCGCAATCGAGGCCGCTCTTGCAGCCGTCCTGCCCCTCTGGAGGACCCGCCAACATTGTGCCGACCTCCAGTCCCCTGCTCCCCGTCCTCTCTGCCCCCCATCCACCGTCCTCCCCTCCTCCTTTCCACCCTTGCCACGTTCGCTTCTGTTCTTCCTTTTCGATCATGCGCATTCGCGGGGTCGAAGCGTGGTGCGTGGGGCCGCGTCACGTCAACACCAATCGACATCTCTGGCTTGGCCAATGTGTCCTGCAGCTCAGACTCCCTCCCGCCTTCCTTTTTTCTCCTTCCTCACTCCATGCTCTTACCTCCCTCCTCCCAACCCCGCATCCTCCTCAATTCTCCCTTCTCCCCCGCCGCCCTCCTCAGATTTCTATCCACCTTCTTCTTTCTCCCCGTGGACTCTCATAAGCAAACCTTTGAACATTGCACAGGCCAGACTCTCTTGTGTGAAACTCTGCTCCCTGTCAGCAACGTGTTGGCCGCATTGCGACTCACATAATTATAACAATGGTGTGCGCGAAGCCATCGAACTAAACCAAAATGCGGCACCATATTCGCCTACGATCTCGGCCAACATCGAAACAAGTACGCATCTAGGCTTTCTACGTTTGCAGAAGATGACACATTTGAACCTTGGGAGGGGGGGAACAAGGATCATGCGTGCACGTGCTGATGTTCTCGCAGACGCGTCCGATGCCCCCTGCCGCCCCCCCTGTCATATGCTTCACGGGGTTCCTTACTCCACATGTGAGAGCGTTCACCTGCCATTCGCTGCCGAAGTCGATTGCCCTCGACCCACCCCGTCACATGAGCCCACCCGCGCCTATCCTTGAGGGGTGCGGGCCAATCCCATTTGAGCAAACACGATGCATCGACAACACCCCTGTCTGTCTCCAGACTTCGATCCAGCAAGATGTTTCCCATCCCGTGCAAGGCCCGTGCGTCTTTTGCAACGTGGTTGTGCGCATAGTGGGGCTAGGGATAGACGATAGCTCATACATACATATATATATATATATATGTGTGTATATATAGGTGTCTAAACCTATACATGGAAACTTCTCGGGACCAGGACTGCTTCATTTCTTTAGGAACTTATTTGAGGCTGGGGCTTACCAGTGCCCTGCAGCTTGCGTGCGACGCTAGACGTGACAGACGGCATGCGCTCCAATGCTTCCCTTTCCAAGAAACGTGCTTCAGCAGTGCGCGCCGCTGGAAGTGCGTTGGATGTGTGCCTCAAGACCTGGACCGGCAGCGGTGGGTCAGACCAGAGCAGATGGCTCGTCCCTAAACATCCTTATTGACGCATGAGGTCACGCTGAGGAATGAGCTATACACATCGCGCTGCTGGTGTTTGGCGAACGGCGACGAGGAGGAAGCACATGGGAACCAAGGTGCGCGACGATTAACGTTCACTGCGAGTGGCAAGGGCAACATGCGCGCCGCAAATGACGGCCGCGGTGGACATATCCATCTAATCTGCTTTGGATGTGCCTTGCACCTTCATGCGATACAATGGGGCTGTCTTCAAACTTGCTCATCGCCTCACAACGGTGAGGAGGCCCGCCTTGAAGATGAAGGCGCAGGGCCTCGGTCGCGCTGCTGCGACGGCTGAATGGCCGTCAACGTCGCACGTGCCATGCCCGAGGGCGCCGAGCCCTCTAGAGGAGAAGCTGCGACGATGAGGCGCACACTGACACTCCAGACAGCCAACTCAGCAGCTCAGCAGCGCCCGGATATCAGTGATCATCGATGTGACATGCATCCCGACACACCTGTGACAGAAGCATTCTGGAAGCAGAAAGGACCTCAGGATAGATCGAAGAAGCTCTATCTGGACCCTGGAATTCTTTCTGGTAACGGCCTGGGCTGATCTTTCATTCGGTTTGACCGGCGCACCCCTCCTCCTCATTCACATATGCCACATCTCTCTTCTCACGGAAGCACGCCTCCTAACAATTTCCTGATGGGCTGGTGGGAACACTTTTTGGTTGGCGGCTCCAGGACAAGTGTCAAGAAGCGGGATAAACGACTGGGGCACAGGCCGTAGATAATTGGCCAAAGCAGCGCGTAAGCCGCAAAGGCGAGTGCACGTGCAAGGGACAATATGACCCTCATTAGAGGTGATGCAAGGGACAAGATGACCCTAATTGAACACAGCAAACCGATGTCGACGACCCGACGGGAGGTGATGCCAAGCCGTGACGTGCAGCGGTAAATGCGTCCAGCGTGGAGAAGTCGCACCACACGACTGGTGGGAACACGCGAAGTGCCACTACAGCGGGCCCCCAGCAGGAGCTCAGTGGGAGTTGGGTGGTCTGGGCCGTGTAGGCACGACTCGTCAGTTTAGAGAGCCATACTACAGGCTAGTAGGCTTCGTTAGGGAAAGAGAGAGAGAGAGAGAGAGAGACATAGAAAGAGAGAGAGGGAGAACGAGAGAGAGAGAGAGAGAGAGAGAACGAGAGAGAGAGAGGGGGGGCTCGCGCACCCGCACCAACTGCTCCAAGGATTATCTGGTCTCCTCATCTTGGCTCTGGTTTCGGCCCCAAGGCGTCTCAAGAGGGTTCCCAGACGGCCCAAGAAAGCCCCAAGGCAATTCTCACGAGCCCCAAGATGGCTCCAGTATGGCCCGGAGACAGCCCAAGCTGAACCCAGGGAGCCCCGGTGTGCCCCCAAGAGCCCTTGAATCTATAAGCATCATTGAGATCATTCCCAACCATCCTGTGGTGTGGGGTTCTCGGTTTGAAGAGAGAGCGCCCCGCGTTCTCCTCCTCTCCTCCTCCTCCCCCATCCAGCCTCCGCGTGCTAAATCTATCGGTACATGCCTTACATAGGGAGTTCCACCGAGGGCCCCAGTGGCTGCGTCTTTATGGCGGCACCACAACGAATTGTGCACACATCTCACACGCTTCGTGGCCCGACAGGGAGCTCCGCTGGAGGTCCCAGTGGCAGCTTCCACACGGCGGCTCCGCAACGATTTCGGCACATCCCTCACACGTTTCGTGGCCCAAGAGGAGCTCCGCCGACGGCCCCGGTGGCAACATCCGCAGGGTGGCATCGCACCCATTTCGCCACACCTCTCAAACGTTTCGTGGCCCCTTAGGGAGCTCCCAGTGGCAGCGTTCGCAAGGCGGCGCCGCACCAATTTCGCCGCACCTGTCACAAGTTTCGTGGCTCCGTAGACAGCTCCGCCGAATGTCCCAGAGCTCCGCCGAAGGCCCCGATGTCAGCGTCCGCAAGGCGGCACCGCACCCATTTCGCCGCACCTCTCACACGATTCGTGGCTTCATAGGGAGCTCCGCCGAATGTCCCAGAACTTCGCCGACGGCCCCAGTGGCAACGTCCGCAAGGCGGCACCGCACCCTTTTCGCCACACCTCTCACACGATTCGTGGCTCCATAGGGAGCTCCGCCGAATATCCAAAAGCTCCGCCGACGGCCCCAGTGACAGTGTCCTCACGGCGGCACCGCACCCATTTCGCCACACCTCTCACACGATTCGTGGCCCCAAGAGGAGCTCCACCGAAGGTCCCAGTGGCAGCGTCCGCAGGACGGCACCGCACCCATTTAGGCACACCTCTCACACGCTTCGTGGCCCCTTGGGGAGCTCCACCGAAGGCCCCAGCGGCAGCGTCCGCAAGGCGGCGCCGCACCCATTTCGCCGCACCCCTCGCACGTTTCGTGGCCCCGCAGGGCCGCACTTGATGGGCTGGCCAATCTCCTGCTTTGGGGGCCCGCCGTGACTCCCTCTCTGCGGGCTCAGTGCTCGAACGGCGACGAGGCGGGCCTCGCGTGCGCCTGGACGTGGAAGCTGAGAGGCTCTCGAGGATCACCGCGCGCGTGCAGCAGCAAGGGCGAGGCGAGGTGCCAAGGGATGGGAAACATGGGAGGCAAGGAACAGGGAAGACGGGCGAGGAGCCCTTCGCACCGCCGGCGTGCGCGCAGCCGCTCCTGGCCTCACAGCCTGCGGCGTGCCCCCAGACGGAGATCCCGAAAGCGCAAGGCAGCCGCAGGGGCCGCAGTGCCAGGTCGCACGGCCCTGGGGGGACGGCGGCCACGCGGCCGCGAAGAACTTCGTGCACCCTGTGCGGGCGATGTTCGCTTTCTCTGTGCCCAGGGAGGAGGGAAGCTGTGGCGCTCGCCAGCGGCGCCCCGCGTGCGGTAGACCACTGGAGCCGTCTCCGCGCAGCACCGAGCGATGCCCAGCTGCCTGGCGAGGGGGGTATGGCGCACCCAGTACTCATGGTGGCAAGCTGGCTGCGCATCGCAGGCGGCAACTCTGGCTTGCGCAGCGCGTCCCGTGGGCGTGTCCACTGAGCTGCCCCTCCCCGCCAGGGGCGGCGCACACGCAAAGGAAGGAGGATGAGGAGGAGGAGGACCAGTGTAAACCCAGGAGGCATCAACGATGTTGGAATACATCCCCCCTCCAAGCTCCCTTGTCATAGGCCCCATACAGCGGTTGATGTTTACTGAGGGAACTGCCTCGTTGGAAGTTAACTAACTGTTTGAAAACCCTGAAGCATGCCAAACCATGGTTCTCGGGATTTCAACGCCACGGATCAACCTGACTGTTGCGTCTTGCCCATCCTGAATCGCACCCAAACGCCATTCCTGGGACTTGAACACCGCGAATCAACATAACTTGTGCACCCTCATAAACATGAACCCTTCAAAAACACACTTTCTGGTACGTTGACCATGAGAACTCGTGAAGATCTTGCAATTGTTTAAATGAGTGTGCGCGGCGCTACGGCGAGAACCACATTTAAAACATAAGCCGCCCTCAATCCGTGAAACCCTTGCAATTGTTTCAAGCGAATGTGCGCGGCACTAAAGCGAGAGCCACATTTTGAAAAGGAGCCGCCCTCAATTCGTGAAGCTCTTGCACATTAAAAACACGAGTGTGCGCGGCGCTAAGGCGAGAGCCACATTTTGAAAAGGAGCCGCCCTCAATCCATGAAGCTCCTGCAGTTTTTTGAAAAGAATGTGCGCGGCGCTAAGGCGAGAGCCACATTTTGAAAACGACT